TGTAAAGAACTTAGATATGAACACAATGCATCCTACCATCAAGTTACTGTCTGCTGGAGACCCGGACACCAGTAACTGTCCACTGGGACTCCAAGAGACAGTCGTCACAGGACTGTGGCCTGGATAAGACAGGTGGCGAACAGAACTACCTCCTAGCCTGAAGAAGAATTGGTTAAAATTAGTTTTTAGGATTTGACCTAGTTAAGTAACCAAACAAACAAACAAGCAAATCGGCACCTGTCATGCAAATGTTTCTGTTGACCTGTGTCAAATTCTTTTTGCTTTTATAAGGTTGAAAAAGGTTATCAATAAATATTGATCTTGGGTGAAAAATGGACTGTTTCCTATGAGAAATTGATGTTAAATTTTTAACAACTCAATTTGAAATTTTAAACCTCTGTATGTTTCCAGCAAGTTTCATCCTATAAGATTGTTGAAATTGTTTAACTAGTATGTCACACATAAATTTCAGATTTTTATTAGTATGCAATTTTTATATATTTTCAACTTGCTCAGTGCAGCTAAAGGATATACACTGTGTCATTTTCTCTGCACTAAAGCAAGTCAAAAGAGGTTCAACTCTACTTCCAGGGTACCTTGTACAAGCAACCATTTATTTACATGTAACACAGACCTCAGGATAGGCGAAGAAGGGTCGACAGTCCACACAAAGAGACCACCGTCGCAACCTACAACCAACACTGAGCCTGACAATGGTCTGAAATGAAAAAAAAGTTGAATGTTACTCGTCATACATGTATTCTGAGTTATATTCATTTTAATGATTTTTTTTACATGTACATTTAGATCAGAGGTGTTCATGTGGGGTATAGATTCAGTTAATTTAATATATTATTTAAATAACTTATTGGGTTTATTTGCATTTTTATTTATAAGTAAGAAATATGACATGTATAAAGTATCTCTAATGATTTGTTGCCAATTTTCTAAGCTTTAATTTGGTATACACGCAAGAGATTGAACTTCAAGATAATATAACTCCGGGGTTTCATCAATGCTTTCAGCAGGGGGGTAACTGGTTTTCACATGTGGGCAAAACTATTTGAACTGAACTTTTTAATTAGAAAAACTTTACGCTACATGGTCACACCAGCCAGGCTAAATAATCCTCACAGCCGGTCAGTTTGCCGGGTACCTTGCGCTTAATGAAACCCCTCACTGATGATTGTATAAATGTGTATTACAGCATCTTTAGACTGGAAACACAAATTCTTGAAGATCTAACAGGGTACTGTTTTCATTTGGAGAACCTACCTCCATGCAACACAACTGACAGCCTTCTGTTGTTTGTGTTCAAGTATAGGAACCAAGTCACTGCAGACAAGAGATGATTAGGAGATTTAGAAGGAATATTATGCAAGATCTCTGAAAGTAGTTAAAAGGTACATCTACATGTAGTTGATACATGTAGACATGTCAAGTTATAAATTTTCCAAAACAAATACTTACATGTAAGATAAGAAATTTCTTGCATTATATCACTATGTTGTGACTGTCTACAGTTACATTGTATTTAATTTATTTATCTCCACACCGACTAGTAAACATACTAAGAAATGGCAATTACTTTATTATAGGAAATTAACGCTTCATGAAATTAACGCACATTTCAAAAATTCACTTTCATTTAAGTGGTGTTACATGTAATTTATTATGTTAATTTTAATTTCTGCGCTGTTAATTAAGTTGGACATTAATTTCCACGAGGTTAATTACAATTATTTTCCCCCAAATCTTGACATAATCCAGACTTTCTTGACACAGACAAACAATAAATTCTATTCGCACAATTTACATTTCACATCTCAATCTTTCACATCAAGAAATCGTTTACTGTACTTCAACTGAATTTTCTTCGTGTTCGTTCTCAGCTTTACAGTGTTAAAATAAATTTGTTCCTGTTCTCAACAAGTTCTGTTTTTTTTTTTGGTGTAGCAAACGTGTTAATTTCCCTCATTTTGAAATTTTACCCTCTCTCTCGCGTTAATTTCCTTTATTGGGAAGCAAATTTACCTTTAATTTACGTTAATTTAAGTCGCATTAATTTCAAATACATTCCTATAATGAGGTACTAAATGTGTTATGCTAGTTACATCAATAACAAGCATGTACTGTGTAAATCTGAGTTTAAGAGACTGACTGAAAAATTTAATTATTAATTAGTAAATTTTAAATGTTGCCTGCAACAAATAAAATGGCAGATCATCCAACCACAGGCAGTAATANATGCTATTCATGCAGACTTATTCAGTTGATGTTGTTGTTGTTGTTGTCAGTATCTATTTTTTGTTTCAAGTACTTACCAACATCCTGAAATTGTAGTGAATATAGTGCAGGCTCATTTGCCACAGCAAATACTAGAACTCTCCCATCATGACTCCAGCATGCTGCCTGGTGAATACGCAATGTATATAGGGAATACAAACTCATTCAGAAGCACAGTGGAACCTCGCCTTGCAACACCCAGTTAATGGGCATCTTTTGGAGAAAGGGAAAGAAGTGGATAACACATTTCCCTTTCCCCACCTTAAATTTGAACTTCACTTACAGTGAACTCACAACAACATGAGGGAATGTGAGTGGGCCAGCAAAAGAAAGTGGGAGTGGTCACTGTACAAACATTTGAGCCCATTTCACGGTTTGGTGATTTTGTAGTAAATCAAAATTCAACAAACATGGCCCAAATTGCCATTAATATAAAGGCAGAGGCTGATTAAAACACTATATACCTCTCAAATAATTTCTCACTATACATCTATTCCAAGTGCATTGTTTAAATCCCTGACAAAAATTTGCTTTTTGCTCATGCAGCATTTAGAGTTGCCCTCATCACCTTCAGGGCTGTAGCCAGACTTCAGAACAACATGAGGCGCGAGCCGCTAGGGGGGTCTGGGGGCATGTTCCCCCAGAAAATTTTGAAATCTACAAGCTCAGAAATGCTCTTTTAAACATTTTCCGAGGCATTTTTCTTCAGAAAAGTCAATCTTGGGCAAGTGTAGAAGTTCACTTGTTTATTGCTGAGTGATACTTGCACCAAGTTAATGACCATCTGCATTTTAAAGCATTCAAATGTTGTAACACATATTATAACAATAAGATGAATCCACAAAAGTAGCCAATGTTTATGGATTTTATACTGTAGATAATTAGGAGAAGTCTTCAGTAACACTTTTTTGAAGTTAGTTCTTAGATGATATACAGAATCATGCTCACTTATCAGTTATCTGTTTTGATACACTCTTGCTTATGTTCTTCAAAAAAGGGCCAAAATTGTCCCATTTTGCCTCATGCTAGCTATGGCCCTGGCCTTAGTAGAAAGTGACCCTAAAAGGTTGCCCTCATCTTCATGGTTGCGACACATTCACGCAACGTATGAAAGGAAACAAATAACCTGAAAAGAAATTTACATGTATGCTGCACTTCCAGAGTCTCCTCCACAGAGATTCAAAATGTACATTATAGAAAGCCGCTGTGCGAGGTGAGTGTAGGCGCAAAGTCAAATGGACATCACATAACCCTGCGCCTGCACTCATGTTGTTCAGTAAATTCTCTCCACCTGGAAAAAAAAACCTTTTGAGGCTATGCAGAGGAGAGTGTACATGTATACTGTACCCACATCATATATGCTGACAATGATACATACTAGGTTCCTATTCTACAAATTTCATGATCAATTATATTCACTATAAATATAAATAATAATTGTAGTTATTATTTATCATAATAATCAACTTCCAGGGAGAATATTATTTATTATTTCTAAAAATACCTGACAGGCTCCTGACAAATTTGACCACTTTTCACAAGTCCACGTCTGAGTCTCCCATACCCTACATCAAATTTGAATCAAATATTTGTTATTATACTTTTCATAATTTTTAAATAGGACTAAATAGCTTTGGCAAAACTATTATTAAAATGAACTAATGACAGTAGTCCACGATATATTTCACTTATAACTTCTCCTCAGTTTTGTCAATAGTCAAACCTGAACAAGCTGGAGGGTGTTGCGGCAAATAGATTCCTCTCATCTGGTGACCATGCTGTCAGTGTCACACCTCCTCCAGCTCTATATAAAGGCGTGGCTGTCTCCAGGGCAACATCCCATACCTTTACAGAAGAAATTACTACTGCAGCATTGTATCAATTCTAACAAGTACAATTATATCAATAATGACATGGTACAGAGGTTTCTTTGTGTCAAATAATCTGAGATCAACATTGGCCTTTTCGAATATGTACCCAATTACATTTAAAGGGATAGTTTCACGGTTTGATGCATGTGTGTACATAACTTGTTTGTCTTGTCCAAAATAAACTGTTCCGCCCAAACAAAAAATTCGATGTTCAATTCTAAATTTGCCATTTTCTGTCTAAATCCATTTACATCTTCCATAAAATTTGGACACCAGTCATTCTGCTAGCCTTCATGTAGCTGTGTAGCTACTCAAAGGCTATCATTATGCTTTCGTAAAATTATAGTCTGGGATTTCTGAAATACATCTGATTAATACAAAAACGAAAATTTATGTACTTTATGCATGGAATTGGAACATACGAAAGGAATTATAACGAGTATTGAGTATTCTCAATATCTTTTGCCATTATTTAAGGGGCAGATAAATGATGATGATGATGATGATGATGATGATGAGAAATCTCACCTATATTGTCAGGTTTTTGCGACCAACCGTGAAATTCTCAAATACAAATTTCCCGCAAAAGTCACTTGCACACTTCCGATTGTTTTATAAGTTACAATGAAATTGAATGATTGACATTGTAGCTTGCACATGCGCTGAGCAGTGAACCCGTCTCTTCAAAAAGAGCAAGGCATGAATCAAAATAAATGGCCAATAAACTCTTTGGAATTCTACAGCTTAACCTTTGACTAGTTGATGACATACAGTAAATACCACCATGATATTTATTCCCATTATCTGGGTGTTGAAAATGTTTTTTAAAACATGTGCCTCCCAACTCAAACACATTTTTCAACTGGAGGCGAAAGTGTCAAGTGTCATGGGTCAAAACTCCAAACTCCCTAAGCAAACAACAATTTAAGTTTTGACTTACACTGTGTGTAGCCTCTTACGAGAATGTTCTTTCTGAGAATGTTTTTTCTTTTTTTCTGTCACAGCTTTTGACATAAAATTTTTGCTCACTGATTTAATGCATCCACTAAATTGATAATATCAGCGAGGGGAAACACATGTATTAAGGTTAGGGATAAAAAGTGAAATCAATGTAAAGAACTTAGATATGAACACAATGCATCCTACCATCAAGTTACTGTCTGCTGGAGACCCGGACACCAGTAACTGTCCACTGGGACTCCAAGAGACAGTCGTCACAGGACTGTGGCCTGGATAAGACAGGTGGCGAACAGAACTACCTCCTAGCCTGAAGAAGAATTGGTTAAAATTAGTTTTTAGGATTTGACCTAGTTAAGTAACCAAACAAACAAACAAGCAAATCGGCACCTGTCATGCAAATGTTTCTGTTGACCTGTGTCAAATTCTTTTTGCTTTTATAAGGTTGAAAAAGGTTATCAATAAATATTGATCTTGGGTGAAAAATGGACTGTTTCCTATGAGAAATTGATGTTAAATTTTTAACAACTCAATTTGAAATTTTAAACCTCTGTATGTTTCCAGCAAGTTTCATCCTATAAGATTGTTGAAATTGTTTAACTAGTATGTCACACATAAATTTCAGATTTTTATTAGTATGCAATTTTTATATATTTTCAACTTGCTCAGTGCAGCTAAAGGATATACACTGTGTCATTTTCTCTGCACTAAAGCAAGTCAAAAGAGGTTCAACTCTACTTCCAGGGTACCTTGTACAAGCAACCGTTTATTTACATGTAACACAGACCTCAGGATAGGCGAAGAAGGGTTGACAGTCCACACAAAGAGACCACCGTCGCAGCCTACAACCAACACTGAGCCTGACAATGGTCTGAAATGAAAAAATGTTGAATGTTACTTGTCATACATGTAAGTGATATTCATATTAATGATTTTTTTGCATGTACATTTAGATCGAGTTGTTCATGTGGGGTATAGATTCAGTTACTTTAATATATTATTTAAATAACTTATTGGGTTTATTTGCATTTTTGTTTATAAGTAAGAAATATGACATGTATAAAGTATTTCTAATGATTTGTTGCCAATTTTCCAAGCTTTAATTTGGTATACACGCAAGAGATTGAACTTCAAGATAATATGACTCCAGGGTTTCATCAATGCTTTTAGCAGGAGGGTAACTGGTTTTCACATACGGGGAAAACTATTTGAACTGAACTTTTTAATTAGAAAAACTTTACGCTACATGGTCACACCAGCCAGGCAAAATCATCCTCACAGCCGCTCAGTTTGCCAGGTACCTGGCACTCAATGAAACCCCTCACTGATGATTGTATAAATGTGTATTACAGCATCTTTAGACTGGAAACACAAATTCTTNAAAATTTAATTTTTGTAACACATACTTGCCATGCCAGAACAAACTTAGCCACATGAGGGTGCCAGGCTAATGCCCTAATGGGTGAGTTTTTCCTGCAAAAAGGAACAAAATTTAATTATAATAATTCTTGATAAGAATACATGTACTGTACAGTATTGAATGGTAATAAAATTGTACATGGTATAGACCTGTATGCTGATCACTACCTACTGTACATCAGGGGTTTCTGGCACCAGGAAAATTGACCAGCTGTGAAAGCGATTTTGCCCACCTGGTTTGAACATCTGCGAGAAGTTTTTTGTATAAAGAAGTTCAGTTCAAAAAGATTTTCCTGCCTGTGAAAACCAGTTGCCCTTCTGCTGAAAATGTCAATGAAGCCGCTGGTACAGTACAGATGTAGGGATCCCATCCCTCAAAACCTCCTGATGTTTAAAATGAACAAGTTTATCGCATAATGTTACAACTTACTAGATATCTTAGAAGAAGGTTTTTTTAATAATTAAATATTAATTTTATGATTTATATTTACCAAGATGACACAACAGAGAAGACATTAATCATTTCTTCTCTAGACAACTGCAAAAAAAAAAAAAAAGAACAGAATTCTTAGTTTATAAACAAGGATTGCAGTGGAAGAATACCATGCTCCATGTAGCAGTTCTTCTAGATGGGTAACCAGCTGATAACAGTAAAATAGCACTCATCATTTGTAGGTAGGAAAGGAAAAAACCCACGTTTGACTGCCCGGGGCAAGTAAATTTTGCTCTTGAGCAAGTGAAAATGGAAGTTTGGTGGTCCGGTAAGCAAGTAAAATTAGCCTCAGTAGTCTTGTTAGTTGATAAGGCATAACATTGCAAGCACACCTATTAGGCAAGTAATATTTTAGTGGATACAACTGAAAACTGAAATGTACTGGCCCACTGGGCAACTGGATTTCAATTTTTTTTCCTACCCTGCTTGGGGAATTCACTATTGTTGAAGATGTCAGAGATACCCAAGAAGATGAGGGGGATGGGTATGGTGATCATTCTGGTAAGGGAAGTCCTGAAAAATAACCTGTTGTTGATGACCAACATTTTGACAACCTGGGCAGGGTCAACAATGGCTTTGTCTTTGACAGTGACCTCTGCTGAAGAACTTACAACAGTGTCAGTCACTAACAATTTACGGCATTGTTTTCAGGATTATCCTCACCTTGAAGATCATGCAGGCCTGTCTAGACAAACTATACTAAAGATCTGATCTCTCTCCTCTACATGGGCTCCCTAGGGGAGAGGGTAGTGAGTTGGGAGTGGAAAGGCACATGGGGCTCCCTAGCCACAGACCTACCAGCCTACATAGTCAAGAAAGCACAAAAGAGGCTTCTGCAGAGGAGAGAGAGATCTTAGATAAAATGTATTGCAACTTACATTTAAATGAGGAGATATGTTACCATACAGTGATAAGAACCATCTCACAACAGTGTCTGTCCCTCCACTCAAATGCCACAGCCATGAAGGTACTTCAAGAATAACATTTTATTTCTTAACATAATAGTTATGTACATGGAAAGCAATTTACAATAGGCTGTGTTTGATCAGTATATATATGTTATTGGCCAGCTGGGAGGTCCGTATAGGGAAAAACTGTGACCGAGGTCTTGAAAATGCTGTCCCAGGCTGCAGGCCAAGGGCAGCATTTTCAAGCCCGAGGTCACAGTTTTTCACTATACAGACCGACCCTAAGCCAGACAATAACATGTTTATCTTTTTTTCTTGCGGTAAATTGACTTACAAGAGGGTTTGTTTACGCAACTTTGTCATTGAATTGGCTTACGTGCTGTGCACAATCCAATCCTAAAAAAATCTAACTAGCGAACGAGCGAGTAACTCAGATACTAGGCAAGGTAAGATGTATTAAAGAACAGATTTATTTCAAACTACTTTATGTTAGTGACATTTAGTTCACCAATTAAGTTCTCCGAAAGTGTTTTTCCGGTGTGAAATTTCGTGCAAAGATTGAAGTTGTACTACAAAAACAATTTCTGTCAGTCGTGCGAATCACTCAAAATCAGAATTTTCTACCGTAAATTGAGTAGCAGATAGTGAGGAAATTCATTAAGTGTATTCCACAGAAATTCTCTCAAATACAGCAACGATCAGAGAGGTAAACTCGACTGAAATTGAGTCATTTTTTAATTAAAATTGTAGAGAGACACACACGCAGGATTAAGCGCCATTACAGCGCCGAGCTACAAACAGCCAAACAAACTCTCACAACTTCAAAAAACTCAATTGAATTTACATACAGTGACTTTCTTGGCCATTTAAAGGTGAATAGAGATAAACTTGCATTGATTAATCGTCGATGGAAGTGTAAAAAGGGCGAAAAATTGTCTATTACCGCTAATTCATTCACGAAAATAGATCAACTCGACAGATTCCGCCCACTGTGGCAGTCCGGATAAGAAAATTCCGCCCGCCCCCGGAACCAATCAGATTGCAGGATTTGCTGAATTCTGCCCGCTCACGAGCTGAGAAAAAGATAAATTGATATACTTTAATTTATATTTGGTGGGGTGTTTTCTTTGTATGCAAGTCTCTTTTAGGAATTGAGGGACAAAAAACCTAAAAATATTCGCAATTTTCGCTCTATTAGAATATTGATATATTGAGCATGGCCTATTCAGATAAGATAAAAAAAAAACTAGAGACCCAAATCAATGTCAGTATTGATTTGGAAAATGACAAATTCCGCATAATTAGATGGCTATGTGCAATGTTTGAATCGACCAACAAAACTGTGATACCTACATTGTAAACTTGGTGTTGCTGGTAAGATGTGGAATTTATGTATTTATGTAGACTTGATGAACTTTGTTTTTACAACTTCAGCATTAAAAAAGCTAAATAATACTCCTTGTAAAACACATCCATGGTCTATTACTCTATAGGCATCTATGGTATTCATGTACATGTACAATGTAGCTTCAATACTGTAATCCCCTGATTAGTAACAGAAGAGGGAGGAAAAGGAGCAGGAGGAGGAGGAGCAGGAGGAGGAGGAGGAGGAGAAGGAGAAGGAGAACGAGCAGGAGGAAGAGGAGGAGGAGGAGAAAGAGAAGGAGCAGGAGGAGGAGAAGGAGGTCAAAGGAGGAGGAGGAGAAGGAGAAGGAGCAGGAGGAAGAGGAGGAGGAGGAGAAGGAGAAGGAGCAGGAGGAGGAGGAGGAGGTCGAAGGAGGAGGAGGAGAAGGAGGACGAGGAGAAGGAGCAGGAGGAGGACGAGGAGAAGAAGGAGTAGGAGTAGGAGGAGGAGTAGGAGGAAAAGGAGCAGGAGAAGGAGTAGGAGGAGGTGTAGGAGGAGGAGGAGTAGGAGGAGAAGGAGAAGGAGCAGGAGAAGGAGGAGGAGGAGGAGAAGAAGGAGTAGGAGTAGGAGGAGGAGTAGGAGGAGAAGGGGCAGGAGAAGGAGTAGGAGGAGGAATGGGAGGAGGAGTAGGAGGAAAAGGAATAGGAGAAGGAGTAAGAGGAGGTATAGGAGGAGGAGGAGTAGGAGGAGAAGGAGTAGGAGGAGGAGAAGGAGCAGCAGGAGGAGAAGGAGAAGGAGGAGGAGAAGGAGGAGGAG